CCAGTGCTGCCTTCTTGGTGTGTAGTTCTCACCATCACTATGGCATCGAGATAGGGAATTTAATGTGGGTACAAACTAGGGGTGTGGTAATATGTGGCTCGGCGGTGGATCATCTTCTGCGATTTCGTCCAGTGATTTAAAAATTGAGTAGGTCGCATCGAGGGAATTGGTTTAGCGAAAGATTAACCTTGATACTTAAAGAAGATGTACACAGAAACTGCAAATCTGTTTTGGTTTAATTACAGTGGATGTGACAAATATGATGAAATTTATTGAGGTGTTGCTATGTTTTGCCCAATATGCAGACGCAAATCCACTGGAGTAATAGCTGGCACGTCGAAGGCTTCCAGAATAAGAGAAGACAAATGTTTGTGTGGACTAAATAGTCGAGCACAAAGTGGGTTCAGAAAATGCGGAAGTCGAGTGGGTACTCACGTGTGCCCACCTATATATGCTTGGTCGATCTTGGATTGATGAGATAACAGTGGGAGATAATTTGTTTGTGTGAACGACGATGGACATGACTGTGAAACGGAGCTGAGTGAATAGTCGTCACAAATCACACTGATAAGTCAGTTACACCTTCAACCACTTTGATGCCGAATTCCCTAGAACTTGAAGGACGGTTGAGGTCAACAGTAATTGACAAATTTAAACAACAACAACAGCCTCTCGATAAAAGAGAGCGCATTTCAATCGCTGAATGAGCTAGTTTACAATTTCCCATTTCCACACATCATGATAGCTTCAGTTCTAAATTTTGATTCATGGAAATGCACATTTATTTGCACTACGTGGTAGATGCCACGTTCATATTTCAGAAGCTGCGTTATCGGAAGATTGCGTACAAGATCGAGTTGTGTTGATGTTGGATGGGAACGTGGAGGACAAGTGTGATGGGAGATGCGATGCATCCTCGACTCGAGTTCCAGCAAATTTGGTTGTTTGTTGCTGCCGATGAGTGCGTATACCAACTCGATCGAATGCTGACAGGAAATGTGGTGGCCTCGCCAATCACCAGTGCTAATGCGAAGTGGACATTCCGCTTCCTCGAACCACCTCTCCTGAATCGAAACCGACCACTGCCTAATAGACACAACGAGTCATAGATGACATGAATGCTGATTCCACAGCAAGACATGCTCAATTGTTTGTGAAGACGATAGCATACATTGAGCTGGCATGGAAAAGACCGTTACTGCTTTCAATTATTTCAAAACAAACGTTTTAGGGCATTTGAGAGAAGTCTTGTGTTTGTCTTTGTAAGCGGCCACGTGTTTCCAGTGTAAAACCCACACAGGAACCATATCGATCAGTTGTCATTGACGTTGGTTGATTGGGTAACTTGTGTCTGGATCGCGTTTTGATTGGTGGAAACGGTGAACGAAGATGGTGCAGTTGAATCGACGCTCGTGAGTGAGATTCGACGAAAAGCGTATTGAGGCAACTTGAGACAAGTCATCGAACTTGGGTTAAATGCGGAAAATTTGGCAGCCTTTTTACCTGGTAATTCTTCGGTCTGGACAGTTATGATTCGTTGGCATTCTTTTCAATTGAGTTGCTTACGCATCTTCTTCCAAGTTATGTCGAAAATCTTTAGCTCACGTGACGTATCACCAATATTTTCTAGGTAAAGGACTTTGTACGTCCAGTTCGCATTCTTTTCCGAAGTTGTCTGTCCAGTTTTGAGGAACTGGTGCTTCACGTTTCCGTGTTCCGAGTTGAATCTAGGAGCATTTTGCGGGGCAATGAATTTAAGAATAAAATGTTTTTAGTTTTTATCGTGTGGTATCAATGTTTGCGGCTTATGACGGATTCGCTAACCCCGAAAACGTCTTGTTAAAATTTGTAGAGTAAGTAAATTGAACATGCTTACAGAAAAATAGAAAGAGAACAATTTGCAGAAATCCTTTCGTCAGTTTTCACCATCCACTCATTCGCCTTGTTTTGTTTAAATTGATGGATTAACTTCTCATCATTTTGTGGGAAATTCTAGGTGATTAATTCTATCGGGACTAACTTATCCAGGTTCGTCAGAACAACTCGGATTGGGAATGTGATTTAAAATCCACCAGAGTTCAGAAAACGGAGAAAACATTTTGATAAATTTACAGGCAACATTTTTAACTGGTAATTCTTGGTTTCTAGGCGAATATTATTCGCTGGAATTCTTTTTTATTGCCTTCCATAATACTTTGATTTCGTGTTCACCTTCTAGAAGCATTTGGAGTGTTCTGTGACTTGCACGACTTCTCTAAGTCCCGACTGTCCATTTCACCTGAAACGACAATAGTAGCCTGCCATTCGTTGTTTTCCTGCTAATAGATGACATTCTGTATGAAGCGGTGGCCAGAAAAGTAGCGCCATCCTGCGGAAATCCGTGTCATATCTCAACTACATTATGAATGAGCCTTGCCACAACAAGGAACCTCATACCTAACAGCTTCTTTTTGGCATTCTCGTTGTTTTTGGTTAAAATATTTACCCCGGCAAAACGACAGCTCCTCAACTTTAGGCCAAGTCAACAAAAATGACATTTCCTCATGTCTTTTAATAACGCCATGCCCACTTACGAGAAGCTGAAGGGAGACCTTAGTAACCAATAAATCGAAAGTATACTCAAAGGGGAAATTGGCCAATGAAATTGGGGTGCAGTCGATTTGAACAAGAAAGCTGGCGTTCATTGCAGATTTGAAAGCCAGAAATGCGTGGTTAAACATCACCAGACATTTTGAATCAAAAAATTCTAGACGATTAATTTCCAGGTTCGTCAGAACAACTCGGATTGGGAATGTGATTCTAAATCCACCAGAGTTCGGAAAAAGGGAAAAAATATTTTAGCAATTTTGCAGGCCCTCGAAGGTGATTTTGACGCAAAGAGCAGTTCCACTTTTAAAAAATAAACGGCAGAATGCCTGTTTTGAATGACTTTTGTCAACCTTACAAACGTTTCCTCTTTGACATATGATAGACGTCGCTTTTAGCTTGCTTTGAAAGCAAATTGGGCGTAATTTCGCGTGCCGTTTTAAAGCTAGATGTCAATTTAAACAAATCAACAAGTCTCAAAATTTTTTCTTTCCGTTAGTGAAAATTCACCGTAATCGTTAAGAAATGCAATATTTGATATCTGCGCGAATTAAGACAACATTATATGAAACACCCAGTTGTAACTAGATAAATAGTGTCGGATACGTCACATTACTCGTAGTTAATTCGGCCATGTTTTGATCATATTCTGGAATCACTGCAAGCATAAGTTCTTTGAGCCCAAGCGGTTGATATTGGCAAAATGTTTTTTGCCTCAAACATCTTCCATCACCAATTGGCTCACATTCGTTCGAAAAACCAGAACAAATCACACTGATGACTGCGTTTTAGCGTAAAAAAGGGGTTTATTTATAAAAATCGTTCATTTACGTCGGCAACAAGCGTTCGACACGATAGGCCTTTGAAGCGAAAGCTGGCTGCCTCCAGTGACTGCTACCTGTAACGATGTTGGCGTGTTGACTGACACCACGTCGGGGATTTCCCCTGTGGAAAGTAGCAAATAAGCAGATTCCCTCCATTCACATGCCGATTCTTCGAAGTTTTTGCACTTGGAACATGGAAATACAAGGCGACATTTGAAAATCAAACGAGTATGAAAATGCTGTGTTGCTGGGGTGCACACGCCCTTCGATTTTGTGGTCAAGACGGTCGGGTGAAGATCGTGAGTGGGCCTTTTGGAACTCATTGTTTTAATGAAGTCCACCATTTACCGGGCAAATTGTTCAAATGCAATCGATATCTCTGTCACTTCACAACAAGAAGCAAGTAACCACGAAAATTACGCCATCTGTTTGTCTAAAAAAAGTCGTGAATTCCATGATCCATTGCGATATAAACTTTGGTTTTTATGTGCTTGCTGGGCTGAGGCACAGCTTCGTTTGTTTTTTTACTTAACTACATTTTGCCGCCAGTTCGCTTGTGCCTGGCGCCGCCTTGCATATGTATTAAAACAAAGTGCCGATTTTTTTACCGTGACTTTGTCAGTTTGGCCAATAACGCAACAGCATTGTGACAAAACAAGGGCGTTACACTGTGAGGCCAAACCCTGGTTCAAGAAAGTGATAATAACCTATCCGAATCGGCGTTTAAAATCAATATTTTAAATGTTATCTGAAGTCAACCAATCGAAATCAGTGAGATGGTTGTGCGCATCGCATCGACTAGCAGCTTCAAAAGACTTCACCGAAAGTAATTTGGAAGATCAAATCATGGTGGCAATCTTTACATCATGACACTGAACACAAAATTGCTGAAATTGTGTACACACCAACGCCACGCAGTAAAGAAATAAGCATACATGGTTTGCTCATGAGCAAAATGCTGAACCGCGGTTCAAAAAGGCCTCCGCTAGTTTCATTTTAATTATCTTCGTTGGTTTAGTAAAACAAAGGAAGAGAAAGGACGTAGGGCAAGCAGTTTGGCGGCAAAAACGAGAGGAAAAAATGCCAGCCATATCGGACTGCTTCAGGTTCCAGAAGGTTCACTCATTGTTGTCTTATTTGCTAGCCAATCAAAGCGCAGGAAAATGGATGCGTCATTTTGCCTGTAAATTTATCACAGAACACACTTCCTGGGGGTTTGATTCTGTAATTTTTTGATGATTTTCATCGAAGTCTGGGACAAGCTAGTTGCCAACACTGAACCCCTTGATCTGGACGATACGGAAATCGTGGATTTCATGAAGCGGCGAAAATACTCCAATACCCTTGTAGCTTTGATATTGCAGCCTACACAGAAACCCTTCCATACCAAGATCCCATCAACTTCAAAAGACTTCTAGTAATAAAAAGCTGTTGTACATTTTAGGAATCCATAAAATTAGTCTGGGAGATAAATTCACATGCGAAAGGGGCATTTATGGATGGAGCCGTATTAAGGCACCGTGGGGCTGTAGCGGATATGCTTGCTTGACTTGTGTGTGTAGTGTGTTTTACCCTGTATGCCATTGAAAGAATAGGGGAGGAAGGAGGCTGGATACTCCGAATGAGGTGAGTGTGTGTGTGTGTGGGTCTAGAAGAAATGCAATTACTGTTCAACACGCTCAATCTTGGCTACGACCTTGCCTTCCCACAGCGGCAGAATCGCGTCGTCGTTGGAGATCTCCTGGTGGACCACACCGGAGTCGAATTCGTCCGACGTGGTCTTGAAGAAGAACCTACAGAAAATAGTTACAATTTTGAACCAATAGTTAGCATTCTTATTTTGGCTCTGCCATGCACACAATTGCGCAAAGTCAAATCGACCGCCTCGTTTTTGTCGACACTCAAGGTCGTCAGGTCATGCATGCGATTGGATGCACACCACGTGTTACCAGGGCTTTGGCCGAGACAGCCAAAGGCCCGTTTTTTTCTCTGTTTCTGCACGAAGAAGCCTGGCAAATCCTCGCACTCGTTTTTAGTGGCATCGGTGAAACGTGACAACGTCGGTCAATAGGCCAAGCACACCAATTTGTACAGTGTATTCCCCACCACAGAAAAACAAATTTAGGCGCGAGTATGAACGGCGAGATGTGTCTTGTCGACCAACCTCCCACACCCCCCCCCTGGAAGAACTTTTTCCTTTACAATTTTCGGTCGAATCTGCGCTGAGAAAAGTGCGTAAGAAAAAAACAATTTTATTCGACATCACGCGGTGATAGCGCGAGCGCAGACGCAAAGATGAAGGCAGGAAGGTTTTAGAGGGAGGTACTAAGCGGTCTTGTCAACGCCGCAGGCTTGCCGCCACGATAATGATTTCAGCAAAAGCAAATGTCGGAACAGAGATAAAAATGACACCCACATGAGGGTAACCGTCGTTGGGAGGCAGTGGACGCGAAATTAAATTTGCAATTTCTGCGCACTACTGGGTTTCTACTGACCAAACAGCATCCCAAAATCAATTCGTGCTGTAATTAAAATTGCAGACTCCAGATATGACAGTATTTCTGCAGATGAAAAACGTAACAATTAGACGGCACAACTAAGTGTAGGGTTAAGTTTGCGTTTGTGTGTGTGTGTGGGTTCGCTAAATGACAAGGCCAAACATTTAGCGAACCAATGGCCTTAACGCGGTCTCTTCAATTTTTAAATCGTTGGATGAAATCGCAGAAGATGATCCACCGCCGAGCCACATATTATCACATTCCTAGTTTGTACCCACATTAAATTCCCTATCTCGATGCCATAGTGATGGTGAGAACTACACACCAAGAAGGCAGCACTGGTGGTCCACAGTCCACAACTTCGAAATTGGAGTTGTTTTGTTCGATATCAGACGACATTTACAACAAAAACGCCATTTGAGCACTCACATTCGCCTCTGATTATCGATGACATAAGCTGACAAACGTAGAGTGGCGAGAGAAGAAGTGAGAGAGAGGTAGTAAGGGGGTGGGGTTGGGAGAGGCATGTCAAGTGGGGTGGAGGTGTGGGGACGGGGCTGTCACAAACCCGCGGCATTCAAGTGTCACTTCGGTGAACGTCAAGTGAAGTGAGTTGGTGGAGGATGTTTTAATAGTGAGGGTGTTATTGGGGGGATCTGCCAGGGTAGTCGGTACCCCTCCGCCACTAACAACGGCTGATGGCAAAAAGCATGTTTGCCTTGGCAATCACATCGACTTAGTTCACGTTTGTCCGCGCCAACTTATCATGAACACGTAACGAGTGTAAAACGAAGATGTTGACCTTGTCGGGTTTATTTTAATTACCGGAGTCGCTTTAATTCAAGTTCCCGTTGCTTCCCGGGACGATGATGACAACGACGTTGATCGGAGCAAATCTAGGCATTTCGATCGATAATTACCAATGGGACGATCAATATCTGCATTTGAAAACGCAGAAGTGCACCATCTGACTTTCACTAAACGAATTGTAATCATAAGTGATCGAAGTCCAATAAGAATTACGCAATTGTAGCCAATCAACTTTTGGTGATCCTCCACTAACATTTTATTGGCTACAGGAAGAAGCAATGTCAGATTTTTAGTCAAGCAGTAATGAAAGAGAAATTCGCCTGACATTTAATAAGCAAACTAAAATGTTTTACCTTATTTTTCTATGCATTACAGACTTGTTTTGTCACACATTTTTACAAACTGATCATCGGCGTATCAAATTGCCGAAACAGACGGTTTGTGCGCGGTAACAAGAGAAGTTCAATTGGATTGGCAGATTGTTTGGAGCGATGGGTGGTATGCCAAAAGAGGAAAAACCGTGTGGGCAAATCATTCAATGACGTCTGTCAAGAGGCAGAGAGATTCGTAGAGAGACCCACAACGTGGTTGTCTAGTCTCAATCGAATCCTCTCGACTGACAATCTGCTCGTGGAATTCAAGTAATCGATCATCCAAGGTCACAATGATGCTGACTACTATTGTTTACTACACTATCAAATCACTACCATATTAAGTTTATTGTTTAAACGAACACCAATATAACCAACACGGCAAAAGTGATTTAAATTTTTTCCACGAGCAATTTCATTGGCTGACTCCAGCCAATCAATCGCATTTACCTTGAAAGAGGGCCTGATTTCTGTAGGTCACTTGTTTAAATGGGCTTCTACAGTCCAGATAACATTCGTGCTCGATTATAATACCAATCAACAGGGATTGGACATATATTTACAAAATGGAATACCATCCAAATATGCTTGTTGCATTTTGCTAGCGAAAGGGAACCTCAACTGTAACCAGAAAACGATAACAATTGATTAATCACGCAAGTGATTTCGGATTTAGGCAAAAGCAAATTTCGAAGCCGCTGCACACATTTAGACATAAAAACTACGATGTTTCGCAAATTTATGAAGAAGACGAGCACGCGTGTTTTGCATTAACTGGGCAACATTATTGTACATTAGTCAAATTTGGCATCAACTAAATTTCAATTTTCGTGGTTGCCGACTCGCTGATTTAAACAAATAAGCACAGCCATACTGCATACACAGGTGGCCTTCGATATTCGAATTCCTGCATTGAGTATGAGTTGCGCAAAACAGATTAGGAAAGGCTTATTCTATCGCCAGCCGCTATCTTCGAGGAAATTGACCTTTCAGAAAATCGAATTAAAATCGGCAGCTTTGGGAACGTGAAATAACCCGTGAGTTGATGGTAATTTTGGAAGGCTATTAGACGTCCAGGTGAAACAGATGTTAGAAATGTGTTTTAATTCAGCTTAACTCGCAGCCGCGTCGAATTCACTATGGACGTGATAGTCCAAAGTCCAGTCATATACTGTTTTTTTAAACAAAGAGACCACGGTCTAGCTTGAGAGGGTGTCGCACCATAACCCTCCCCCGTTCCCTCTTCGAACGAGACGCATGTGGCGACAAGGCGAGCACTCCACCCCTCCCCCGTATGTCTTTGTGAGCAATCTGTGGGGGTGGGATGAGTTATGAACGCATGCAAGAGTATTCGTGTGTGCGCATGTGTGCGCGCGCGCGCCAACTCACCTAAAGAGACCTTTTTTGGGCACAAGATGCTTAAACTGCCCGAGGGTTATCTCGTGGGAAGGCCACTGGCTGCGATAGGGCACTGGATCGTCGCAGAGGTAGTAGCCTACGACAAGACCCCCGCCGCCGCCGCTGCCACTTGTCGACGAAGTTGTCGAGGTTGAAAGGTGAGGAGGAGGTTGTGGAGATTTCGCTGGAGGTGGGTGGGAGGGCGCTGTTGCGTAGGTGGACTTGAATCCTCCTGATCCGCTGAAGTGGGTCGCGTTGATAGGAGACAAAGCACACCTGTTGAATGTGGGAGAAAATTTAAGTCACTGGTTCCAGTCCCAGCGTGCCCTGATTGGCTGGAAGTGTTTATCAGGCCTGGCGCCTTGTTCGATTTGGCACCAGTGGAAAAAAACAGCCGAGAGGTGAATAAGAAGACAGACACCCTCGGTTTGAGGGCTCCAATGCGGAGCTAAATACAGACGCACACACTCGTACGCGAGCGGTAGAGGAACACGGGGGGAGCGTGGCAAGGCGACGTCGCGCCGCAATCCCCGTCGCCGTGGCGGCGGTGGCGGTGAGAGGATCAGCATGACCCGAACGGCTATTATTTATTAAACGGAACGCGCGCGCATCGTTTTTTTGCTCCGTACGCGTGCACACACACACACACACACCGAAATGCTGTGTTTTTGTTTTAACAACGAGTGTGTAAGGCAAAAAAAACAGGCGCGAAGGAAGGAAGGCAGGAAGACGATAAGTGTGAGTTCTTTTTGCTCTGGCCTATCTCTCGCCATTAAAACATGCTGGCTGCCATAGTCTCGCTGCGCGCAGAGTGGGTGAAGCAAAAAGTAGCGATCGAGCGAAAGCACTGGTGTGCATTCACCAAAATTGAGGGTAACTACATCATTTTTGGACTATGCACGCGAGCAGGTGAACGCCAAGTAACGCTCAACAGTGCATTTCTCTGGTCTCAAACTTGGCGCATTTGAACTCAAGAAGACTGTCGTGAACCGTGTTTAGTCAACTGCTTAATCCGATCGCTCCGCCTCCGACACAGTGTTCCCCTATATCGCAGCATGTCGTCAGCCGCGCGGACCCTCAATCCAGCCCACATTCACACTATTTATCTTAGACTATCCTCACACATAGGTCTCGATGTCAGCGCATCTATGACTCACGCATCCGAGGTATAAAAACGCACACGCGAAACCCACACAGGACACAACGACATCAACGTGGTTGACCTCTGAAGTAAACGCTTGTGTCCCGTCCTCTCCGGTCGTTTCCTTCATCGCGGGCATTAGGCAAGCGTAATCGGGCCAGGGTTAATTCCGTGGCCCCGGAGTGGTTCAAGACCACATGCTGGGGCCCACAACAATTTAAAATCTAACCAATCAGCTTTTGAGTACCCTTTCAGACACCATACAGACCCTAGAGGTGATTTAGAATGAAAAAAATGCAAAAACTTACTGCAAGGGCATGGCCGTCTGATGTCTCAGCGCAATGCCATCTTGCAGTCGATCACCCACCGACCTTGAGGCGACCAATTGAGTCTCGTTGACCTGCTGATGGAAGTCGAAACGCGAAGGAAACTGGCTAGGCGGCTGAGTGGTGAGGCTGGGCGGAGTGGACTCCTGCAGAAGTTGGGGTCGGACGCAGTCGTCTTCCTCTTCTTCCTCCTCCTCCATTTCGTCAGGCGGAAGGAGTCCAGTGGTGGGTTGAGGAGGTCCAGAGCGTCGTTGGATGTCGGCACTCTCACCACTTCCACTGCCACTTGTCGGCGTTCGATCTGCCGAAGTGGCCCAAATCCTGGAACAGTGATCTTCAAGGATCGCCTAGGAATGATTGCAAGACATGAAGATGCATAGTTTCGGTTGCCGTAGCTACCCATGCCAACTCATCATCATCGACGTGACCTTAGTTCCAATGTTATTCCACTAGGACTCCAACTTGATTTTGGGGGGATAGCTTATACTATATTTTAGAGCAGGTCATATCTATGGAATTCTTAATTGAATTTGACCAATCAGATTTCAGAAATTACTAACAGGTCACATTTTATATAAGCCGTTTGATATTGTGTACACAAACTGTACCGCGCAACTCTGTGGACTCCAAATTTCTTTAAGATGCCTAGGAAATTACGTGTTGGCCGAAGGACATGTTCGGTAATTTGCTAACTTTCAACATCTTTCAATAAATTCCGAAAAACATTGCGCACGTAACTGAATCTGTTGGCTTAGTGGACGAGCCAAAATTAACAGGAACTGATTATGCACAGGCAATATTGGCTTCTGACTTTATCTACCGATATTGCAGCTTTAAAAATCCGCTGTAGCGTTAATGAAAATGACACTACACAAGGCAAAACCATCCATACTACTGACTAATAATTGGATTTGTGGTTGAAAATGCCACAACGTAGCGATGGACGGATGCATGACAAGATGTCCGCATTGTCGTGAAAGTGAAACAGCTTCCCAGAATCTGCGTGTGTGTGTGTGTGTGTGCATAAGCATATCACACAAATCACATGTACGATCCGTGAGACACTTGGTTGTACCAACTCGTCTTACAACCGCGTCGACAGTCATGGGAAGGCCGTGGCCTGGAACATCAATCACGTGCTCTTCGGGTGTACGGTGATGTGTACCAACTGTGAAGTGAGTTCACTAATTCGTGCTTGTCGGTGCTAAAAATTGACGCTGAGGCTCTGGGAATCACATTTTTGTTCCACAGTTGCAAATCTGTCAAGGTCACGCACCTGTGCATTGTCTCCGTGTTCCGCGTGCTGGACCCTCGCAGCGGCAAGCAATCGATCAGCCCATGGTCGTTGGAGGACGGAGGGTTTGGCGGATGCTTCGAGCGCCTGACTACCTGGACGCGTCGTGGGATTCGGAGCAGCTTCCGTCGCCGGCTGAGACCTCGTTTCGCAGGAGTTGGTGGAGGCCTCGACCGTCGGTGCGGATGCCAGTCTTCCAGCGTCCCCATTGGCTTCCACAGCGTGGTCACCTTCTACCACCTCCCCTTCTTCACCTTCTTCATTCTTACCAACCTGAAAAAAAAAAGATTCTACATTGCTTCGGTACAAAACGATAAAGTCGAAATGGAAAAAATCCAGTCATTGCAAATATCGTGAAAGCAATTGCGAGGGCACCGCTGTGTTACCTTAAGCGAGAGCAGTGTTTCCTGCATTGACAACGACGAGACAATACCTATCTGAGATGGAGGAGAAGGCAGAGGGACGAGAGAAGGGGGGTCGAGATGTCTAACGCCTCACCTCTCATGTTCTCAGTAATGGACCAATCACAGTTGTCCTTGTCACGCAATCAGAGGGAAGAGACAGAGCAACGGCAGGGATGGAGGCACGACCCCTTACTCTAATGAGTCTTCTCTCCCAACACCGCCATCACCACCACCACCATCACCATCCATCCACCTGTCTAATAACGGTCATGCGAATGTTACCCGACCAACGCGTCCTAATCCTCCCTTCTCCCTTCACCAAAGTCATTGACACTTCCACGTAAACACGCGTGCCATCTAAGTGGAATTGACGGTTAGCGTGAAAAAAGAACATGCGCTACCGACGTGGAGAGGGAAAAAAATATGCAGAGCAAAGCTCTTTTTTTCTCTGTGCGTGTGTACTCATGCCTGGGGACATCGGGTTACGGAATGTGCTGAGCTGCTAGACTGAGGTGTTTCAACGTTTTGAACTGGTGACCGCTATGTCTTGTGGGATTGACGTCACCCCCACACACACGCAACCCTCTGGAATTAGCACGAATGCCAGAGGCACTACTATGGGAGAAATTGAGGCCTTGGTTTTGGAAAAACCAAATCCACATCACACAAATGAGTGTTGCCAAGCTATTTTTATCGGAGAGGTAAGACTGGGAAAGAACGTTTCAAAAACCCCGTCTAGAGTAATTACCAGGGCCTGAACAGTACCGGAGGGTGAATAAGGGGGTTAGCGCTTTCACTTAGTTGTTCAGACTCTGAATTCCGCCGGCGAACTGACAGGGAGCCTGGAACAAGTGGACGGTAGCCTGCGTGCGTGCTTACGCTCGACTGTCTGAAGGCCGGACGCTGCACTGAATGTAAGTTCAATTCCCGATTAGGCTTCCACGGGGGTGTAAACGGTTGTCCACCGATGTTAGGATTTTCAGAATTGATTTGGTGAAGGGTGGGGAAGGCAGGCCACCAGGTCACATTTACCACAATTACGTGTTCCCCTAGGTTATTTGCAGACATTTACACACCCTAACTACAACTGAACAGGGCAGAATATGCCGCGGCTTTAATTGTGCTGTGGTTAAGCCCAGGACGAAAAAACACCGACGGTTTGAAATGTGTGTTTGAAAGAAACAACTAGGTTGTCATAGTAACGCCTGGCGAGTGAATCCACGCCAAGCACGATAATGGAATTAAGACGGCAGAGAGAGAGAGAGAGACGTACCAGGGACGCAAAACAGCGGCAAACTAGGCAGCGAGGAAAAAAAATGGAGAAAAGTACGCAAAAAGCGCGCGCCGTTTTTCCGCCAAATTCTTCCCGCCCCATTGGATGCAGTAGTCGGCGAGCAGCCAGCTGCTGCATCTGTCCAAGTGACAAATGGTGGACGCGCCCCATTTCGGTGAAAGGCCCAACCTACTCACACGCGCCCCTGGGGCGGATAGATGGACCCAGGTGTCAATCAATTGGGGTGACTAACCCTGTCCCCCCATGAAAGCTGTCTGAAGAACAAAATGCACATGCCAGACACGGCGCATGTCTTTGTGTGTAGGTAAACAAACGCGCAAAGCGTTGTCGGCTTTTTTTGCCGCCGGCTGCATCGTCGGGTCAATTAAAACACAGCAATTGGATTTGGCAATGAGAATGACACATCTGTAAACAGATTGTTACAGTTTTCGCGATTGTTATTTTTTTTGGTGCGAAGTCAAATTAACTGTCACACAAGACAAAAAAACCTTTTTTTGCTTTCATTTCACAAGCTTGTCGAAAGTAAACAGTTTACGAACGATTTTGAGCTGGAGATAACGGATTGGCAGTGAAGTAGTCTCGGTTTTCGCCATCAGACGGAACCACATGCGCCTCAAAGATTGGTTTCTACTTATGTTTGATCGAGGTCACTCGTGGCTTTCTTTGAAGTGGAATTAAGCGCAATTTCACCATGCTGGGGACAATTTAAACAGAATGTAGTACTCAAGTCTTTGGTTGCCAAGACGACGAGGGATCTGCTAAGGTGGACAATGTGGTGTTAGTTGCTGTGGTGACTCATCATCCGAAGCTGACCTCGAAGGCTCCCTCACATGAACCCCTTACACTGGGAAGAAGTGGCGGTTGGTGGAACAGCAGGCGAGATCTGGGAGTGTGCACCAGAGTCGTTTTACGGCTTAAACCACCCTAAATCTCGCGGACGCAGTAAAACGGCCATAAAAATGTACGATGTTGGGCAGATTTCAAAGCCTTTTGTGAAAGCCGCGGTTAGGCGAGAATCAAGTTAGGTGACGAAAACATTATTACCATCTTAGCGTTTGGCACGCTGTTGAAGAGACCGCCTTTTCAACCATTAAAACACTATAAGTGCAACTAGCAAGCTGTAGCCGTAATTTCCAGGTGGCAAACGTGATCGAATCTGAGCATTCGCCCAAATTAGACAGCTTATCATTGGCGGAACCTACTGTACAAGAATTTGGCGGGGAATTCGAATTAAAGTAACACTTTATGTCAGTTTAAAGGATAAGTAATCAGCACTGAATAAAGACGGTAGGGAAAAAAGATGAGATGAATAACTTTACGTAATTAAATGTGGATGCATGAGAAGTAGCTCAGGTCAATTGACCAATCAACTTGGTCAATAACAAGTGCTTTCATTCTATTGGCTAGAGATGGCAGCTGTTGAAAAATCCCTTTTTGATATCCCAACAGATGAATTTAACTTGACCGTAATGTTTTCCAATCAAACACCCCCTGCTGAACCAGTGACGCATCAATCCGTCACCCCAATACTGGTAACAGTTTTGGATGAATCGAAACTGACAGCACCTAGATTTCATTGTAGCACAAGAGAGCATGCTTACGTCAGTCATAAGCTTCTCCAACAGTTCCGTTGCGGCCCTATCCTCGACCACCCGCTGAAGACGTTCGTTGAGGAGCTTCGCGAACGCGGTGGGGTCCAGCTCAGCCATATTCTGCGCCCTGATGGTCACCGCTTTACCCATGTTCGTCGCCGACGTGGTCGTCGCAGTCCCCTTGCGTGTGGCACTTGATCCCCTCTTGTGCTTGCAGTTTGTCCCTCGAATCGACGTTGAGGTGTTGAGGGGAGGTGGAGGAGGAGGGGTGGGCTCGAATACCGGATAGTTAGTCGGCGGAGCTGCTTGTGTTGCTGGCATTCGCGGTGCGTGACGCATTAAGAAATGCATCCGTAGCCTTGAATCGTCACTACATTGGAAGACAAATGCAGGTTTGAAAGCGGCACGCACAGGCTCGATGGGCATTACTACCAGATCGTGCATCAAGACTGTGTGTCTACACATTCTGAAAAGCAATTAGCAACGGATTTACTAACCGGGAAGACAACCAACAAAAATGCAGCGAATTGTTATCTTAAAATAACAGAACAGCATCGCGTACTGGAACATAATCGATCAATGCGGCTTGTCCAGAGGAATTTGCGTTTCAGCATTGATTGACAGTCTACTATTCTAGTTTTGACGACGATCAGAGGGAGAAAAGAGAAGAACAAAGGGTTGCTAGGGGGAGTTCATTTAAACAAAAGGGCGAAAGCGCCCTTGTTTTATCCCGGCCATGATTAAAAAAGAAGCTGGGAGGAGAATGTGGGACGATGTGAAAGAAAAGAGTTCGGGACGCCGGCGCTGTTTGGCGCCATTTTTGATTCTTCTCACGCCCGACTACGACGTTTGGCGCGTTTAATCAAATGTCACTCACCGTCAGAAGGTTCCGGTAAATGTCAAACTCAGCGCTGAAAGGGCATCGATGGAAGGGCCAGGAAATTTTTGTTCCAATCCACAAATCGGCGAGTGACACAGTTAATTTAGTTTACTGACGTTTTAACGCATATTCACCCGATTTAATTTGTGCTTTTGGATGATCCATGTGTCAGACAAGTGATTTCTCGTTTGATCATGTGAGGGAGCTCTGCTGGCTGAAGACTCGACGCAAACGCAAAAAGAGCTTGCAGCTCATTTAAGAGTCAACTAAGTAAGTAATTCGTAGCATTGGCACCATGTGGAAAAATTCAAATACTTTGATGTTGAGTTCCACATGTGTTGAATGAACACAGCGTACGTCAACGTAGGAACACATGAAGTTCTTGTGGAAAATTGTGACGGGTGATTAAAAGCATGTTTTTAGCGTTTTGCAAGGGAAAAATAATGTGCTTCCCCACTGGCAACATGTTTCCAAGCGTAAAATGTGTCGTGGGTAGATCCCAGGCGACTCAGTACATTGACGCCATAGCAAGACACCAACTTAAAGACGGTCCTCCTGTGTATTCGGTGGGACATGAATGGTTCACTCTACTACAAACTCCTGGAAACTGGTCGTCAGACGGTGACTGCGGGACGCTACAACCGACAATTGAACAAACAGAGCGAAGAGGCCAGAGATCAGGAAAGGCCGTTTACTGAGCAAGCAAGCAGACATATCATACTGCTACTGCATGACAACGCTAGACCACCTCACGTTGTTCGCATTGCGACTCAAAAGGCTCTTTTGAACTTGGGATGGAAAGTTCTCTCACATCCGGCATATTCACCAGACTTGGCCCCATCCGACCACCATTTGTTCGGATCAATGGAGCATCACGCCTTGGTGAACAGACAGTTCAAAGCGTGGGACGATGTTCGCAATAAATGCGTCGACGACTTCACTGTCTCGAAGCCTGCAAGTTACTTTGGTGACGGCATTCTTACGCTACCTGAGCGATGGCGCGAGGTCCTAGGGAACGATGTACAATAATTGTCCCAAATTTGTCTATTATATCCATGCCCACTCAAAGGACAGACGTATCGCAGACTGGTGAATTGAATACGAGAACGGTAGGCGTTATGAGAGTGATAGCTTGTGGGACAACGAATCGTAATCATCGGTCTTGCCTTCCTTCTCGGGCTTACGGACTGTTGACTAGCAGGGTCGCAATGTAGCGCTAATGAAGCCGACCTACTCGAGGCGTCCTGCGATATTTACGCCAAAATTTCATCACAATCGGAGTCACCACTAACGCCTCTTGCCCGACTTGATGTTCATGGGTCCCTTGTGTCCCGCTCAGAGTGGGGTGCAGCTACAGGAGACCGATGCGAAGTGGCTTACTGAGGGCGCTTAGTATCTGTGGCTCACCATTGTCCCTAATTGGTCCCCCCACCAGCTGGCCCTCACCCTGCAAAAAAGTACTTAATTAACACGCCTACACGCATGCACACAATGACACACCACCACCCCGTGTTCACGTGTTCCTTTGCTCTCAAATTCTGCGGGTGCCATGCAAGCTGTTCGTGCTTGGAGTTAACTCTCAATTCGGGGACGCTAACTGGTTTAAATGCGCGCCTTTCACTAAAGCTGTTTAAAACGTCTGCAAATTGCATCGACTTCCAAAGTTGTAGTTGCTGGTTAGACAAACACACAATCACTCTCACGAACTGCCCGCCACGACGTAACTTGAGCGTATTTAAACGAAAAAAATGGACATTCAAAAAACCATTCAGTTAGAGGTAAGGACTTCCGGTGTCCGATGTTTATTTGCGGGCACATATAGTTTATTGTGGATCTCCACAAATGTAGCACAAAAGGTATCATGAATAACTAATATGGTTATTGCATCAGACATCGACACTGGAAGCCGGATGTTATTCGGACAAAAAGAACTTCTGTGAATTCAAATGGGCGGAAAGATCTGCCCTCCCCCTTTTGATTGGCCAATCAAGGATGACGTAGGAGGAAGGGCTATTACCTGTCTCTTTCGGCGGCAAATTGCTTCTGCAAGAAGAGCTAATTGCTTTCCCATGGCATGTGAATTTGGGTTCTGTATTATGAAAAGCACACCTCCTGTTGCCAATGTTATCCGCAATTTCAGAAAGTTGGTGTCACAACCCGATACAGTTGCTTTAAATAGGTGCAAAAAGAGGCGAGTTCTACGACGTGGACAGAGTCGCACACAAATCGTGTGCGTCGACTGGAGGGGTAAGGAGTCGGAGTCGAAAACCGATTTTGAAAACCGAATTATGGCATCTAGAGTAACGCCACCTTGCAGGGCGTAATTGCCTCCCACATCCGACCGACTTGTTCAAGCGTGAAGGGGGTCATGAAGATTGATTTAAAAAAATCAGAAGCAATCCTCCAGTAGTAGCCCCAGGACTGTTCCTCCTTTGATGAAATCCACCGTGCAAAAGGGGTGCAGACACACCCAAATGACGGCGCTTTTTCCTATTCAGGACAAAAAAGTCATCGAGGTAATGTCACAAGAGAGTGAGATGACAATTTTTTCTCGAAAAAGAAGCATCGTGTCCCCCCGCCACCCCGTCGCTTGGCCGTCAGTTTACTTTTCACAGATAAGCTGGTGAAAAGGGGACTTAGTCATCGCGAATCTTCCGGTGAATGTGTGGATGACTCGACACTGCCTAAATTTGGGTCATCCCAAGACGATGGCCGGGAAAAAAAAGCACATACTACCCGCCAACGTGGGATTAAGGAGTCGAAATGGGGCTCAAAGAGACGGAAACACCAGACAGAAGAAGGCAGATGACCAAGTAGGAAAGCTTGGTTACTTGGACGCGATAGGTCATCACGGACAGGATTGTGAGCTGTTGGGTGGAAATTCCAACAGTCGAACACTAAGTTATCAATTTAATTCTCAGACTGGAGTGTTAATCTAGTTGGAGCAACAGATTGTTTATTTGTGGGGTTCAGAAGGCACATATTCGTGACAGGAAGATGATATCAGGACGTCACTGCTGTCCCAAATACACCCCAGACAAGTTTGACACATTTCGATGTGATGTGGGAGATAAGCTCTAGCATCCGTCCCCCTCATTCGATGCGTCGGGGGGTGCAGATCTCGGATGACCAACGCATTATCAACCAGGCTTAATAACAGGCCTGTCACCGACGCAGATTTGATTACCTGTGACGCAGGTGGTGGCGTTAATGGTTGTGTTCGGAGCACCTTGGGGTCCCCCCGGCAATTGGTTAAAACAAAAGACCGAATTCGACAACCAGAATGGCAAATTGTCCTCCTGCAACTGTTTTACCTTGTTGCATTTGACGGATTTAACGAGAATGCCATCGCTTTAGCATAACAGCAGCGACATTACGCCTTGCACCACTTGCAGGGCTAAGTCGACGCTACAAAAGACCGCCGTGAATGAAAAAAAATCAAAGCCAACGAAGAGGGAGACAAGGAGAGATAGAGAGAGAAAGAAAGGGTAAGCGGGTGGGCGGGCGGGCGGGCAGCGAGAAGGTAAAAGAGATGCCAGCGAAACGGAGCAGCGGCGGTAGCAAGAAAATGATGAATGCGCTACCGCCAGCTGGCCGTGTTATTTAGTACCTAGAGTCATGTCGCATTGGCGAAGAAAAAAGGCACAGTAGACGGGGACGGTAAAAATACGACGATGATGATGATGATGAGAAAGAGGAGCAAGCTCCACCCCAAGCGAGCGAGCGCGCACACACACAGGTGGGTTTTTAAGCAGGGACGATTTGAATGCTGAAGTGGATCAGGAATCGTTAGATGCGTTAGATGTCTGATGCGATTGGACACGACAAAAAGGCACTGTATAAACCTATGCATTAGTGACTCGGAACTACGCCGTGTGTTGAAACCCACGTGTACTTCAACACACAGGACGCGATATCTCATGACAGACAGAGGTATGGAATCGGATCCGAATTGACAACCTTCGGCCGGCAAAAATCGATTCATGGCATTCGAAGTCATAGCTTTGAAGGTAAACCCACCAGAATTTCAAACTAAACTATTAGAGATCCCAGCTTCATTTCCAGTAGGCTACTACATCGTCTGTCGCAAATTTGGCTGCATTGAGCTGTTCGCGGTGTTCATTTTTTGTTGACGAATCGGCGTTTGCACATATTGCGATTCGGTAAACAAACACAACGACGTATTTTCTACAAGACAACACCATGCGTGCTGAATGGCACCAATATTCAGAATGGAATCGCACTAAGTCAGCTTCCCGCATCTAAGTAGTCCTTTTTATTGATACGTGCTGACCTTGGAGTGACCTGACCTTGAGCTGACCAATTGGAGGTAAGCTTATGTTAGGCCAATTCTATAGGTTTAAATGAAGGCGATCGTCGGAAGTACTAGGCGGAAAAACAACAACGAATGCACGACACGATGCACAGCAAATGGTGGTTGTGGTAAACGATGCTGCCACTGCTGTAGCCGCCAGAAAAACGAACAGGTGGTTCGCCGAGTGGCGAACAGGAGAAAAAAAACGACGCTGCAATGTTGAGGTGAAAGGCAACCCGTAGCGCACGGTGGGGCATCATGTGGGTGAAAAGGCAGTGCATTTCGGAGGGAGCCGAATTCGTTCGTGATTGGTTGCTTGCGAAAACCAACAATCGATCTGATTGGCTGCCATTGCCTATTGTCCATAATGCGACCAAAATTGTTACCTTCTACACGAATAGGTGGCTCTACGATTGTTTGGCGTTCAATCAAGAAATGGTTCCGGACACTCCTACTCAACTACTGCCCACAGATCCACGAAGAGGACAGTGAAGGGTTAATGGATGGTCCTTCGAATTCAAATTAGTCAGAATGCTGCCTGTCAAGATGACCATTCGCCTAAAAAATGACTGACCAATCAAAATTAGCCCTCAAGGAGTAAGGACCACTCAAATTGTCTTACCAGGTGCCGTCGGTGTGAGAGAGGCTCTCCTCAGTGTGCGTCCCGCTGGAAATGCTGTGGTGTTCCGAGTCCTGGGTGGACACAGGTGCGAAGGAGACGTGATAGGGGTTTGGGGGTGGCCGCGCGAATCCCCCACCAAGTCCCGGCGAGGAGAAGTAGTCGTGTTTGGGGCTGAAGCAAGAAGAAAAATAGAAGCATAAGGCCACCACCACCACCGGGTGGATCGGTGTGTTTTACTCAGTGACAAAACAGTTTGCTTCTCTCCGCGGCCTCCACCTTCCTTCTGTCCGTCGCGCGCTGTTTGATGACAGACAAACGGCGTGTCGCTGGGTTGATGTCGGCAAGGCGCTGTCAGCTGTGACAGGATCTGCGTTATACTAGGACAGACGGTGGATGTGGACAGCAAGAAACAGCGGCGCCGGTTATAAATAAATAAAAATCTTTTGTTTTTGACCGTTTTAAACGAAACGGACCGTTCAACCCCCGAGCTGGACTAGAATTCACCAACAGAATGCGAAAAAAACAGCTGCCACTTAATGTTGATGGGTTAATTGTGAAAACAATTCTGCTTAATTGAAACAAAAATTCATTTTTTAATGATTGAACATGCTCACATTCCTGTCTATTACACGCTGCAGGGCTCAATCAGGGTTCACAGAAGGATTCCACGTAGCTGAGATGGTTCACACGCATAAACACTTCATTTTAAAAATGGCATTTACTTCAATTAACAATGCTCATTTTAGAGAATTTGACCAATCAGGATTTTGTCAAGGGACTTTCTGTGAATTTGATTCGTGCATCACGCAATAAATATGAAGTACACACAAAAAATGGTTTACTGTGTAGACTATTGATAAGTATATCAAAAAAATCGATACGATAAGAGGCCTATTTCCGCGGCTATAACATTTGGCTCCTTGTTCGCGTTTACTATAGAATTGCATGGTTGCAATTTAGTGAGAAATCAGTGATGTTGAAAATTTTCCCACACATTTGTTCACATACACACACACACACAAACACACAATTGATGGATAGGTTTTTCACCGCTGTTAATGCATGTGTCATCGTCGGCATCGCCATTATCATCATCTCCGCAACAGCGATTGATTGTCGAAATGATCGAAATTCACCCAACCACACACAACTTTAATTCACGCCGTTAATTGGATGAATTTGGCGGGTATTTGGGACATCATTATCGGGGCCAGATGTGGAAGCTGAAGACATAAATATGTGTACACGGAACCCCAGTGACCTTGACCTCAACCAATCAGCACACCGGCCGTCTTGGCCTCGTGACTAGTTCCCGCAAGCACGCCGTTTCAGCCGGCTGTTTCACAAACGCTTGCCACGCAAAGAACACACGGGAGATTGGACCCGCGGAACAACTAATCGGTTAAATTTACGGTGACGTCAATCAAGCGCAACGGCACTGCTGCGTACCTGGCTATTGACTGTGGGAATTTTGTGTGCCACGGTAGCAAGGGGTCAGGCATAGAGGCAGATTTCACTTCGCCGTCACCAGTGACCTCACTTTCTTTCCCTCTCACACACCACACCGAGATCAGCGCGCGTCGAATGGTAATTTGAGGCGCCGAGCCGCCTAATTACACATGCGTTCGATGGCTGTTGACAAGTTCCTCGCTTGTAGTGTGTGTGTGTGTGTGTAAACGTGGGAATTCACGCCAAACTCGCTAGCTCGCTCGCCGCTACACCAGCCCCTTCTCTAGTCTAAATGAGACCTAGAGATTTGCGGAGTTTTTGACTAGAAAACTGCATAAACAAGACCGCGCGTCATGAGGCAGCGGCGTCTCCGCGAGCCGACAACAGGTGGGGGGTCGTGGTACACCGAAAAGACACCAGTTATCGCGCACTGGCGACCAGAGCAGGTTTTCGCACTACCGCCGGCGTAGCCTGCACACCAAGCGACAAACGCCACACGTCAGTGTGGATGTGTAGAGCCTGAGAATCGCCGCAACTCGACCTACACAAGAGATTCATCACAGTGTCTTTCCAGGTTAAGCGTAGTTTCGAAACGTGTGCATGTGTGTGTGTTTGTGCACGATAAACTTCACCACCAATCAAAATCGACGAAAAAAACGTCATGTGAGTCACCAACTCGACGGCTGTGTGCGTCATTAAGCAATGCGCGTTTATAACGCCTAGACTAAGTGGCACACTTCAACAAGCGGGTAAACAAAAAGGGCCCTGGACCGTGGTGCATGGCCCCACAAATGTGGAATTGTGTCTGTTGAACACTTCTGGCACGCCTTCCAACGCTGGTTCACAGCTAGAGTTGGACGCGTTTTGTTTGCGTGGAGAATTCGCGCCTTCACTAAAGACGCCCAACGCGGGCTACTGCCTGGGAAAAATCGCTGTTCAGTGCACAGGCTTGACAGTGGGGTGTGGTAGGGTGCGATGTAGCGCGTCCTGACACGAAGCAACCGCTGTAGGCAGGCAAAAAACCGGCAACACGGCCACCACACTGACGCAACAAGTGGTAGAGACTGTGCTTTTGCAAAAAAAACATCATCCGCAGCAGGAATCGTTGTGGTCGAGAGAATTCGCTGTTACCCTGCGCTCCGGTAATATAAAAGTAGAATGGAGAGACTGGGTGATTGGGAAATTTCGTGTCCAAGGTAGACGAAAATTGCCATTTTTAATCTGCAATGTACTCTCTGGCATCCGCTAGAACTGTTTTCCAACTCTTCACAAGAAGGTCGCAGGGTAATTGCAGGATGTCTTGACATTCTCAAGTCGGATGCGTTGATTGCTCACATTCAACAAGGCAGTGGATTTCCACTGGGATCGAGTATTTCTGTTTACCCTGGTTTACTTCCCACTGTGGAGGAAGATCGAGAACTGGGCGTTGAAAAACCGACGTATCACAGTTTCCACAAGGATGCTATCCGCAGGCTGCACCCCTAGCCCAAGACAACCTCTAAATAACTCGCACTACCGCCGGTGCAGTCCACACACAAAATGGGGGCGCGAAAACATGCTCTGGTCGCCAGTGCGCGATAACTGATGTCTCTTGCACAATGAACTTCTTCATATTTATAGGCTGGCTATGTAAAAGAGGCTTGAACAAATCTATTCGACTGTAATCCCGCCATCAGACACATAGCAGCACTTTTATTGGACGATATTCAGCCTTTGCCATGGATTCTGCGTCTTGCTTCAAGCTTCTTTTTGTCATTTGGGTGCCATAAACAACGCGTTTTTCACCTCGCGTAATAACCTGGTGCAAGGAATGTGCAAATACGGTTCAGGTCGTTCAGATCTGTCAAAAAACACCTTGGATGGTCTTTACTAGCGTTCCAAGCCCCAATTCGTGTTTAAACTGGCGTAACATAGCATACCGAAAGCGAAACTCGCCATTTGCCGTCTTGAATATCGACCCTTGCACACTTTTTGCGGTTACGCCGACTCACAAGGCGTTTCGACAACTGTCTAAAGGGCATGCTTCTGCTACCTACGAGACCCAGGCACGAGCGTTTGGGGGTTTTATTTACGTCGTAGTTTAACATGGAATCCCTTCTAGTTTAGCACTGCACTCAGCGGCTTCGATAGACATCGGGGCACTCTGCAGCTACTCAGGGAGTTTGGAACATGAAGGCTCGTCTAGGACGTCGAAAAAGTGCGTCAAACTGTGGAAGTCTTGCGTGTCCAGCTCAAGGTGTAGCTCCCTCACCTCTTCTGTCGTAGATTTTCCAATGGTTTCAATTACAGCCACTCCCACATGCAATACACAACGGGCATCGTTCACCCTCCTAGTTAGTAAGAAAAGCACATCTTCACGGAAAAGGAATGCCATCGAGGGCATTTATCTCAATTCCCAATTAACTAACCACAATGCCGACTAATCACGCTGCTCGGAAGCGCCTGGAACATGAAGATAAATCGACACCCGTGAAGTCGACAAAACATGAAGGGAGATGGTAGACCGGGGTGGGGAGGGGAGGGGGAGTAACACAAAAGAGTGGATTAATGATGGCAGGGGTTTTGACGGAGCACGATTATGGGACATGTTTGGCACACGATGCCAGGAGCTGGCGCGATATGGGCGTCTCCGCAGGGAATTCATGAAGCCTACATCCAATCCATTTGCATTTTTCACTAGTGCGTGTCTCAAGATTTGGACGCCTTGGTGTCTATATTGTTTTCTTGTTTGCGATAATTAACTCTGAGAAAACTAAAGCCTACAGCTAATTCGCGAGTTCATTTAAACACGTGTATCATTAATCTAACGAGACTACATATGTCTCTCCCGTTAATTACCTGCCTACGGTCCCACTGTGAGCACCCTGCAGCCACAAAAAGCATTTCGGTGAGGTTGTAGGTACTGGCAAACTATTTCCTTGGGTAAAACTCACTCCTATTAGTGAAACAGTGCATGAACGTGATTGGCCTCACAATATTTCTTGGACTATAATTATTATGGTATGTCTGATCGGTTGTGACTCCAGCTCTAGATCCGATCGGAGGGTTCTAAGAAATGGCAATTGGCTATAAATGATTGACCAGAAGACTAAGATGTCAAGACAGCGTAAATACACACTCACCAGACAGCATCCATCCATTTTCTCTGCGAAGAAGCCCCAAATCTACCAGTTGGCTTGTGTTGAGCTGGTGACAAGGGGTTACTAGGTGCGACCGGTTGTTGATAAGGAGTGTGACAATGCGGACACGAAGAGAGATGCTGTGGAACAGGTAATTCTGCTCGCTGAAATCGAGTTATTTGGAGGTTTTCTTGGGTTAGGGGTGCAGCCTGCGGATAGCATCCTTGTGGTTGGTACGGCACACTCCACTGACTATTGATTTGGCAGGAGCAAAGCTGAATATGTGCTTGCTGCTGCTGCTGAGGCAGCAGAACCTGAGGTCCACAGAAACAGTGGTACGTCGACGAGGCCGGCGTTACGCTGCCTTTGCCAGGCGGTTTCTCAACACCCAGTTCTCGATCTTCCTCCACAGTGGGAAGTGAACCAGGGTAGACAGGTGAACCAAATGCGTGTCGAGGAATACTCGATTCCGGTGGAAATCCACTGCCTTGTTGAATGTGAGCAATAAATGCATCCGACTTGAGAAACGCCTGATAGGCTGTGTTGCGCAACAAATGACCTACTTCTTGCTGCGCCTCGTCAAAGACAGTTTGGTCGAGAGAGCTCTTGTGAGAAAGACGATCGGCAATAGCTCTGCGTGTCTCCTGTCGCAGTCGAACAGGAGCGTGATTCCGTCGACACCTGGAGGAAGATGAGGTAGAGGATGGAGGGGGTGCTGTTGTCGAACTGCTGCCTCGAATGTAAGTCTGATATATGACTTTAATGAGCTGGAGGACTTTTTTCCTATCGGAGGGATCTACTTTGCTGCGAAATCCTTGGACAGCAAACCAGAAATCAAGAAGATTGCCGCAGCCCTCTGACTCAAGGTAAGCCTTAAAAAGAGCCACGCCTTCACCGTCGCTGAGTAGAGCGTCGAAGCTGGCAGACCACTTTTGCCAAGCTGAATTTGAAGCAGGATTTGAGGAGTCGGATTGGTGCAGTTTGTATTCACTGAATGCATTATATATGCTTCCATAGATGTTTCCACATCCACTACCGCTGCCCGTGCCTCCTGAACCACCCGAACGATCGCTACGACCGTCAGCCTCGTGACAGGAACGTAGAGAACCAGGTGGGTAACTCATTTAACAATTTCAACTGAACTAATTTATTAGTTGAAGGAAAATGATAAAGAGGATTTCAGCCTAAAAGGAAAAAAAGCAGCATTTGTATTCAATTCGGGGTGGTGTGGGTATAAATTACAAGGAAATGTTAATACGAGTTAGGGCAAAAATCAAGGCGAATGAAACTTTTCAAAGCATCAAGCGTCCTTTACAGATGCTGCTAGATTCAAATACTTTGGCATTAAAAATTGTTACATTGAGAGTTTGGAAGTACAGCTAGTATGGGCAAATTAGCAAGATTCTTAAATGGAAAATGAAGAACATAAAAAGGGCATCAAAAAATGTAGGAACCGTATATTTTAAGAAAAAAATTCCTTTATGTTCAGGCCTTAAGTGATGCAAGGACTAATAACTTTTAAAATAATTTATAAAAGTTACGAGACGAAATTAGTACACAAAATAAGCCGCATAAGAAAAAAAGCTCTTTTAATAAAAGACAGAGAAACGTGATCAGTGAAACCATCACGCATTTTTAATAACCTCCCATAATTGTCAAACATTCTAATTATTAGTAAAGTATATTTTTTTTTAAAAATAGCTAGCGTCTACTAAACCACTGCTCAAAACAGCGTTATTTCAATGAATTGGTTTGGCTTTTTGCCTACTCAACAAAAAGCACAGGCTTGGGTGGTTCTGGAAACCACATGAAATGCAAATTTCTAAAGTTGTTATAAAGGGGCTAAGTATGTTAATTTAAATAAAACGTTGTGCGCATTTACCTTACGTATGCAAGCCCGGGTCAGCAATTTAATAAGGAAGTATTAATGCAAAACCACAATTTCATTTGAACTTATGCCGTACGACTTAACAGTCTTATTTGACCCACAATTAATAAATAGCTATACTTAGCGTAAAACTTAGTTATAGGCACTGTCAGGAAAAAGACAGTAAAAACCGTACTTGACATGATTTGAGTTCCCTACCGGCGCGTAGACAACCAATAAGATTTGCGTAGGCCGCATGTGAAGGTTGTCGGGCAGACTTTTATGCATTAAAAACCTTCATGGGTGTTCAATATGAGTTCTATTTTAAAATAAAATAAAAAAGGTTAGTTAACTTATGGGACCTCTAAATATATTTAAAAAGTGTGTTTAAGCACTAGATACTGAGACTGTATACAATGAAAGACTTTTACTATTTAAAATTTTTACACTTTCTAAGTAAACACATAAGATGACTTTTGTGTATTTTTCAAAAGGAGTCATCAACTGCCCTAATAGTAATCAATGTGGAATATGTTGCATATTCATCTCGGAAAAAGGGCCCTATTACTAGCGTTTATTTATTGAATTTATCAAATCTTGAACTTGTAACTTTTAAATTTAAATTATTCATGTCTTTTTTAATCAAAAGCAGAATTGGCATTTATTACATAATCCTAATCTATAGATTTAGCTTTGAAATTAAAATTTTGCTGCAGCAATAGGCTATTGTTATTATGTACAATCGAACTTGCAGTCAAATGTTAAAACCTACAACACACTTGAAACTTTCATTTGCGGAATATTTGATTTGGCTTAAATGAAGATAATTTGCTGAAATGTTGACTTACATATCTTTAGCTGGGAGCATAAAAATCATATGACCGATCCAGCAACTTGTGGGTTTGCACAATGGGCTGCCTTACTGCCTTTAACAAATCTAGAACCGATACGAGACTACCAGCAGTGGAAACAAACGTCTATTTTGTGTCAGGAAAACCAAGCGATTTTAAGTATGAATGTAAGCCTGATTTTCATGTGATTGAGAATGACCGATAAAATATAAATGTGGGTAAGAAACCAGATCAAGATGTGAGCAAATTTTCCTGTCGAATTCCTCGACGAAATCCATCAAGGCAAGCTCTCCCATCAACGAGACTTTTTGTGAACAAATAATATTAATCAGGAATTTAATAATCATTATTACTGATATTATTCGTGAAAAGATCTTATTTCTACTTGACCTCCTAAAGGTTTTGAAAAAGAGACATATATTTATCTCAATATTAGCCTATTTAAACCTTTTGCAGAAATTGTGATGGCAATTCCGTAGTTAATAATTATAACACAATCTTTCATAAAAAGAGTGATTTCATCCACAAACATTAACCGTGACAATAACTCAAACAACTCCAGTTAATGTGATGTCACCATGATATTTAATGAAGTATACAATGTTAATAAAAGAAATGACGTCAAATGACTTCACACAAAAATCAGCCTGAGGCACATTTTTACGACCTGTTCCTTGTACATTAACCAGTCTGCTGACTTCCTAATGCATCTTATACCCTAAGGCACAACTTAACAGCTAATTGCGCGACTTAATTGAAGACATTTGCCTAATGATCTAGTAAGATAAATAATAAATCCTTATTTCTGAAGTATTTTCATGAATGAAGCGTCACTACTTGGCGCATGACCTGCAATATTCCGCCAAGTGAGGTGCTCCTGTGCAGACCTGGAGACTTCATGTCTTTCCTTGTTGCGTCGACCTTGGAAACCTCCAATTCGATCATCCAGATTTTCGACTCGTCAAATGCCACATTTTGTAAGCACAATAAACCACTTTAGTGGTATTTATTTAGGAAAGCTCAAGTAGTCTTTTTTACAAGCAGGGCAAAAGTAACAACGGCACAGCAGAGTTGAATGCACACGTCTACATTGTACAAAAAAGAAATTTCTTTGCAACAAGAACCAGGAGAGATGATAGGGGATATTAAATCACATCCCAAATTGTCAATCAATCAGCAAATAAGGAAAAATTTCGACCATCATCCTTGCATTTCTGACCAGGAGAGGTATAAAGGTGCTTGTTACAAGGCATAATCGATCAAGCACCAGAGGTCTCAGACGGCAGGCGGAACTTGAGCAGGTGAACGGAGGAATCGCTCATGCCCAGAGCAATCAGCGGCTGGAAAAGGACGCAAGAAATTAAGCAAATCGCCACAAATCGAGTCCCACGAGAGAGCTACGTGTTTGGCAGATTACGGACTAGGACAGCTTACGGCTGAGACAAAGGTCAGTGAAAGTGATGACAGGCAGTGCGAACGCGTTGCTCCCCTACATGACCTTGCAGCCGAAAATACTACAATGTTACCCCAAATTGACGCAGGTCGTTTATCGATTTAGTGGCATCGGCCTAAGGAATACCAACCGAAGACATAGTCAAAGGCGAGAAAGAGGGTTACTGGCGTGGAATCAGCGCGAGGAATCGACGGCTTACCTCGTAGGGATGGAAAGCAGCGCACGTTGGAAGGATGTCGTCTACGGGCTGGTAGGCTGCAATGATCTTACCGTCGAAGAGGCGGGAGACGTACAACTTGCGCGGCATCCCATACGCCACCAGGTGGGAGCGTGTACAGGGGAGGGAGACCTAGGCGAAGGAAAGGAGAAGGTGCTACGAATCACCACCACAAGGGATTCCACGTTAGAGTTGGCGACATTGATCGGTGTGATGGAATGTCACGGGACCTATCTACGACGAGGCCTCGAATTTCAGAGAGACTACAACAACTAAATGTTCTCTCGAACGCTAACCCGTGAGCCCTAGGGGTTAGGAACAAGATTTTGAGCTGGGATTTCGTGTCCAATCATGTTTGTTTTTCAAGAACGGAACTGAAAATAGCCCTGAATCCTCGCCCACGTATTGCATTGTGGCAACCGGTGTGTGTGTGTGTGTGACCGACCAACCTACCTGGAGAATGGCGGATTTCATGTGAAAGCGTGGTTTGTCGGCATCGCTGTCATTAGGCAACGTCACGATTGGCTGCCAGACGTTGGATGGCGACGCAGACGCTGCGTGAGCGAGGTGCCAAGCTCCGACATGACCGGAACTGCTCACCGCGTAGAGCCGACGATTGGCCTGGTAGGGAGCGAAGGACAAGTCCAGTATGCGCCCACCGTCTCCGGCTTCCATGAGCCCTGTGTCCTTGAATACCACCGACCTAGAACAAAGGCAAGTTGGCATTCGACAGAGCTCGTGGTAGACGAAAACCGGGAAGTAAAACGGGCTGTTGGACACGTACATGGGACTGTTGGGCAGGCGAGCATCGAAGATTTTCACAGTGCCGTCCGCGAAGCCGGCTGCTAGCAGGTTGTCGTCAGCCCGCGCCAACCGAGTCACAGGAACGTCGGCGTTGGTGGAGAGGTCGCGGATGCACGCCTCCTGATCCAGATCGAAGAGACGAACAACCCGCACGTCGCCCGACACCAGGAGGAGGTTGTGGCTGGAACAGTCGGACCAGTTCGTGACCAGGCCACTCGAACCGCTGGATTTCGTCGTTAGAGGCAGCAGGCTTTCAAAACCCACCCTTGGAAGACAGAGCAATACGTTACCACGGCTGATTACGGCGCCAATGTCTATACGCGTTTACCCAGAGTTTACACATTGAGTTGAGGAATACATCGATGCGGTGTGTGCTTAGATTGTGGCGCTGTCCATAAGCAGACTGCAATGCAAACTCGGAAACGTTGTTGACGGTTGGGAACTGATGGTGTGTATAACACCTAGGATCAAGTTCTTCTCTGTGTTCAAAATAGCCTACTGCGACGAGATTACATGTTGCGAAGTTGGACTGCTTGATTTCTATGACACATCGCATAATGACGACGCTTAATTTAACGGGTTGTCTCGTGTCTAATGCAGCTAATTGGCTAATTCTCACGATGGAGCCGTCTACGGCATTTCGCAAGAGCTGACCTTAGAAGAAGCTGGTCACATCTACTATATTCTGTGACTAGCGTCCTTCGTAACCTCTGGGCCTTAAGTAATCGATAATTAGCACCGAGGGGAGACGATGGGGTTCACTCACCACGCGGTCAGGAGAGTGGGGCGCATACCACGTTTACCGTCGTAGTCCTGCCAAACGCGGATGCAGCCATCGCGAGATGCAGTGAGGACCAGGCTTCGCTCTTCAAGGGAATTGATCACTTCAAGGCCCGTGATTTGACACGAACTGCAAGAACGAGAAAAAAAAATCAATATTCCTACGCTCGAATTGGCTGGAAGGTGGTGGTGGTGGTGGTGATGGAATCAGCCGATATTTATGTCACAGATATCGAAGAATGTCGACTAAGTAAGCGAAGGGCGCTTGGGAACTTCAAGATAATGAGGAATTTCAAATAACCGCTAAATCTGATGGTCTTGGGAGAGGTTAGACACACGGTTGCTTGCACTTATGCGTACTCGGTTTGTGACCTTGAAATGACCTTCCACTATGACCAATGAGATCCCAAAGTGAACAAACACACTTTCGACTTACGCACTGCCACCAATAGCTGCTCTCTGCTGTTTCATCTCGAACGCCAACTCATCCGCCATCTGTCTAGCATCAGGCTTCTGCTCGACGTTGTCAAGGGTGATGCGTTGAACCCGCTCCGCCCGATGCACGCCCCACAGCGTGAGTGAATGGCCCTCACCCTCGTCGGCTACGAGAAGGTGCGGTTTGTAGGGGTGGAACTTGGCCAGCACCGGAGGCGCCTGCTCCTGGCCAGACTCGAAGACATGCAGCAGCTGGAGGCCGCCGAGGTCCGCCTGGTGCCCCGACAGCGGGACGCGGTAGACCACAGAGTCGGAGCAGGGCTCGGCTGTGGCGGAGGTCGTGTGGACGTGGTCGCGACGTCTGGACGAGAGGGGCGAAACGCCGCGAGCGGCGAGAAAGGCAGCGGCGTTTTCAGAGGCGGCGGCGGTGGAGGCGGAGGGTTTGTGGGGCTTCGACGCGAGTGCCTGACGCAGAGCTATGGCGTGCCAGCGCTGACGACCCTCCGAACGACTGGCCATGTGCTTGGCGAAACGCGAGAGGTGATTTGAGAAGGAGTGCGCGCGGGGGTCGGTGGAGATGGCGGAGAGATCGGCGATGCACTGGGGAGTTAGGTCATGGCGCGGGTGGGCATCGGGAGATTGAACACTTTTCTTATTCACCTTAGAAGATCCGCCTTAAATAGAAAATCAAACCTTCCTGACGGACAAAAGACATAGAAAACGAATAGACGAATTCCCACTTTTGACCTCATGGGACCGCACAAACACTGGTTGGCGGGGTTGGGGACGCACCGGATTGGAGGAGTTGCAGCGCGGCGGGGAATTTGTGGAGCAGGGGGTGGCTGAACCACTGGGAACACCAGTCGAAGAATTCGGTTCGCACGTGTTCCAGACCAACGAGGCCCTCCACCTCCATCACGTCACCCTGATCGTCGCTCTCCTGGCTGTTTTCGTCGTGCACCCTCGGCTGAAACTAAGGCGTTTTTAAAACGATTGATTGTGGTTTCAAAGAAGACACAAGTGTCATGAATCGTGTTTATTCAGCCCCTTTACCTGGTCGCTCCGCCTCCTACACAGGGTACCTCTTGTCGCAGCATGTCGCCAGCCGCGCAGATCCTCAACTCCCCCTTCATTAGTCCGAATATTTATCTTGGAGTATTCCCACACATAGGTCTCGTTGTTAGCGCATGTATGACTCACACATCCGAGGTATAAATACACACGTGCAAACCCCACACACGACACAACGACACCAACATGGTTGACCTCTGAAGTAAACGGTTGTGTCCACGTCCTCTCTGGTCTTTTTCTTCATCGCGGGTATCAAGGAAGCGTAATCGGGCCAGGGTTAATTCCGTGGCCCCGGCGTGGTTCAAGACCACATACTGGGGCCCACAACACAAGTTTCCCTTTAACTTTAACCACGTTTAAGTAATTTTGAGTCCTTCTGACAACTACGAACGATGTCGATTACCATACACACCAAATAAGGAATACTAAAAAGACCAGAGAAGGCACAGCCAAGTTGTAAACTTTCGTGAACAACGGGTGACCTTCTAAAAGTACAAATGGCAGGGCCGCCAATGGGGCGTTAGGCGTAGCTGGTAGGTATTAGTTCAGGCGTGTGCGAACAGACGGTTCCACCACACCCGTTCATTCAGCGTGGATCGACGCGATTCAACACGCTTCACTACACACCTTGAAACACGGTCTGCCAATTCTGGTCGTTGTTCATTGGTTGATTACCACCGCACTCTCATTGGACGATTGTTTGGATGCAGCTCAAAGAAATGCCTTCGTAACCCTATCAAGTCGATGGCATGACAATAATCACGGCTGCAATCCAGATGATCAGTCCCGCTTCCATTGACGATGTGATGGACGAGCCACACTTCATCGTCTGTGATGACTCATTCCACAAAGGGGTGATTCTACCTCGATTGGATGGGTATTACAACTGCTAATGCATTGTCCTCAGTGGATTTATTTTAACTCTCACGGAACTCAAATATCGAATAGATTAGTAGATTTTCAGTTGTGTGCGCGTTTAATATATTAAACAACACACACGGTTGTCCAACCACAATCAACAATTCAATAATGGTTATGATTTAATATGCAACGACTTCAGTAGGTCGACATGGGCAGTGGAAAGGAAGTTTTTAAACGAATTCAGACGCGCGCGTTTTGTGCTGAGCACCCATCACCCATCAATTGATTTTGCGAAACAAGCTAATCGAGCTTAAGCTTATTCGATCTTCTGTTATTTTTGTCCCAGACAATTTGAATGACTTGAAATTTGCATTCAGCCGCGTTGAGGTCTCAAACGAGCGAGCGTGCTGCTGATTGGTCCCCCCCCGATGACGGCTGACCAATCAGTATTCAACAACACTTTGGGAAACCCGAATTGACCTTGAAGCGACCAATAGAAAGTGAGGACGCCAATGAGCTATTGCAAATGCTGACAACGAACAGACTTGTTTGCAGGGAAACAAGGAGTAATGTGATTAACCTACAGAATTAGCGGTGCCGGCGAAATGACGTCTTCGACCCGTAGGGACACTGGGTTCTGCCATGCTGGCGGAGGCTTGTGGCTGATGCGACCTAGAGAAGCAGGAACAGAGTGAATGAGCAAAGCCGTAAGGACCCACATCGGCCACTTCAGATGTGATGGTGACTCACAATGTGCGAGGCCCGGTCCGTGGAGCAGCGCAGGCACCGTCCACTTGTTGGTTTCGTGTTCCAACTGGATTTTCCTCGTTTGTGTGCTCACAGGGCCGAAGACGACCATCGCACAGTGCAATCTCCTTGCCCAGGTCGTACTAGGATTGGCGGAAACAAGCAATCGTCAAGGTGACCACCGCATAGGGACGCATCAAATCAGCTGTTTTTTTTCAAATCATAGGCAATGAAGGTGCCGGTTTCGTGCTGTTCGTCTGATGCGCGCCTTCGGCAGCCACCCATGCTCGTGGCCAAAGCTGAAACCCACTTACAACCACCACATCTGGTGAGTGCTCCGTGATTAC